CTCGGGGGTCTGCTGCACCGACAGGGTGGGGCGGCCCAGCACTGCGGGGACACGGGGCTGGCGTCAACCGCCACCCGCCAGGCTCAGAGCACGGGGCGAGGGGTTCCGGTGTTTAAAAGTGGGTCTCTGGGAGGCCTCAGCGAGAAGCAAAGCCTTGAAGGAGGGGAGGGAGGGAGCTGCAGGGGGGTCTGGAGGGTTAGTGTTCTGGGCAGCAGAATCAGCCGGCGCAAAGGCCCTGGCACGGCAGGCCGTGCACCTCCGCCCCCTTCAGTCCCTTAAGCCACACGCCTCTTGCCGTGCTTATCTGACTCCTGCTGGAGCCGGATCAACGCCCACGGGACACGGGAGTGTCCAAAAATCCTGCTCGTGCCTCGTGGCCCTCAAAGTCTCAGTAATGACGAATGCGCCAAGAGATTTTGGGGTGAGGATAGTGTTCCAGGCAGCAGAATCAGCCGGCGCAAAGGCCCTGAGGCAGGTCGAGTGTGAGGAACGGCCAGGAGGCCGGGGACTAAGAAAACCCAACAAAGGGAACACCCACAAGGACAGCACGGCAGGCCGTGCGCCTCCGCCCCCTTCAGTCCGTGTAGCCACACGGCTCTTGCCATGCTTATCTGACTCCTGTTGGAGCCGGATCAACGCCCATGGGACACGGGAGTGTCCAAAATCCTGCTCGTGCCTCGTGGCCCTCAAAGTCTCAGTAATGACGAATGCGCCAAGAGATTTTGGGGTGAGGTTAAGAAAAGGGAAGGCTGAGCTATACAAAAGAAACCAGGCTTCTCCACTGCAGGATTTATCAGAACCTTAAATGGACTGTGCCATGGGCAGTCAGTGAATGCAGTGGGTTCGGCTGAGCAAGCAGCACCATGCGACATCCCCGAGAGGGGAGAAATAGATCACGGGAGGCTCCTTGGAGGAGGTGACATGTGCACGGACTAGTCTGGCAAAGGAAACAGTATGGGCAGGGCTGGCGGCAGTGTAGAGAGGGGCCGTGTCTAGCCTGAATTTCAGGCTACGTGGTCAGAGCCGTGGCATCAAGGGTCCCCGAAAAAAGAATGGGTGTGGGAAGGGGGACGGGGGCCTTTCTACAGCTCCTCAGACACGCTAAGCTTGCTCCCCTCTGCCGGCTTCTGCCCAGGCTGCACCCTCTGCCTAAAACATCCTCCTTGTTTCTGCGGCTGCCTCTCACCTCACTCAGCTCAGTTGTGGCTGGGGATAAAACAGAACCTTGGGACTGATGAGAAGGGCCAGAAGGGGAAACTGAGGCAGGGCTGCCAAGAGAGGCTTCAGGGTACAATTAGGGAGATGGGCGCACCACCCCAAAATGACAACCCACCCAAGGCGGTCGGAGCCATGACGGGGTAGGACAGAATGCTGGGGAGGCCCAGAGAGTGCACGGAATCAAGACCGTGGGATGCGGGTGGGGTGCGGTGGCTTGCGGGGGGTGGGGAAGGACTCCGTGAGCAGGAAGAGACAAAGCAAAGACCTGAAGGATGGGGAGAAGGGTGTCCGGGGAGAGGGCCTGGCGGGATAAAGCCAGAAGGGGACGGAGAACGAGGCGGGGACAGTCAGCTGCTAATTGTTTGCCTCTGGCTCAAGCCAAGTCGCTGGGGAGGTGGAGAGCATGACGGGGTTGGACCCTGCTGGGCAGCACCCCCCGCCCCGCCCTGCTCTGGCTGTTCCTCCTGCCTGGCACACCCTCTCCGCACGGGCGCTCAGGAACTCTGCGGGGACACTAGGAGAAAGGGGACCATAATGGGGGGGGTCTCATACCTGCTCCCTTGGTCACAACCACCTTGGGTTTGCTGCGGGCACCATCGCCTTTCATGGTGTAGGCGGCTACAGTGATGGAGTAGGCGGTCTCAGGCTGCAGGTTTGTGATGACCATCTCCTGCAGGTGGGGGTGGGGTCAGCGATGCAGCCAGGGCTGAGACCTGCCTTGCCCACCCTCCTCCCCGGGCTGGGCTCGAGCAAGGTGGATGTGGGGCCTGGTCCTCGGGCAGAGACGTGCACCCGAGCTCATGCACAGACCCCGGCAGGTAGCACGTACATGCTGAGATGGGCACACGCAGCCTGACGACCCTGTCATCGCCTGCCTGGACCAGGGCGGTTGCCGCTGCCCCAGAGATCTAGCTCCCACCCCCATCCCCAGTCTGTCCTCCCCAAAGCAACCACCAGAGGGCACCTGTGAGCACCTGAGTCAGGTCTCGCGGTTTCTCTGCCAACAGCCCTCCAGAGCTCCCACCTCCCACAGGGTAAAAGCCCAAGTCCTCCCCACCCAGAAGGCCTTGCCCCACCTACCCCATCCCCTCCCTCTCTCCCTCTCGCTCACTCTGCTCCAGCCACACAGGGCTCCTCACAGCTCCCCCAACACAGTCCTGCCCCAGGACCTTTGCACAGGCTGCCCCAGGACCTTCTACCTCCACTACGCCCACTGGGAACTCCCTATGTACATCTGCAAGAGCCAATAGTTAAATTTTCAGGAATTTTGCAAGCCAGTTATTAAATACAGCCATTATGTAAAGGCGAATTATGTAAACTTGTAAATAAATATTAAAAACAAAGATATTAACTACTCAAAACCCCTGTCCCTAAATATCCCACTGCCTCTTCCACATCTACACTCTCAAGGTTATTCCGTCTCGTATCTTGTGGTAGAAAGCGAGCTACACGGTGATGAGCTAGTGCACATCCAGTCGGCACCCTGAAACCGACGTGGTGAGGGCATTTACATGGGGGCAGCGGGGACATGCTGCCGGTCAGGCCCCCCACCCCGCCCACCTGGGGAGACGACTGTTCAGCCTTTACACCACGGTCCACGCCCTGCCACCATCAGAGCTGCGACTCGACAGCTATCTGTGTCTTTTCCCCATTCATGTCCCTTTCCCACACTGGACTGGCTCGGGGCTCTTCCTTGGTCATTGTCACACCCGTAGCACCTGGCATAGGATCCAGGTGCTATACTAGGTCTCAGTAAATGACTTCTCAATCATCCTGACTTGCACACATACCCACGTACGCTGTCACACGTGTGCCCATGTCCCCACACATGCAGACCCACAAACACGGTCTGGCATGCCTGGGTGCTGTGGGGTGACCCCAGGTCAGGAGCATGATGAGGGGGACAGGGATGCATGAACACAGGGTCTCCTGCCCCTGAGCCCCGGGGTCTTGGTGGGTGGGAGAGGCTGAGCTGGAGCCCATGTGCTAACTTCTCCCAGGGTGGGAAGAGGCAGAGCCTACGGCCCCCATGTAAAGGGCGGAAAAACAGCCCAGAGAGGCAGCGACTTGCCCGAGGTCACACAGCAGTCCCACCTCTGGCTTAGAACCGCCCCAGAAGGCGTGGAGGGCGGAGACAGCAGTGCCGCAGGCGTCCCCTCTCACCCTGGGCCCCCCACCCCTCTTGTCACTCAAGGGTCAGAATGAAGTGGACCTTTTGGCCAGAGAGAAATTTCTAGGCCAGGGAGGGCTGAGGCAGGTGATAAAAGAATCAGGCTGGGTTGGAAAGTGTCCTGGCTCTGGTCTGGGTTCGTGGGAGGCGGTGGGGCGGTGGGGCGCAGGGGTGGTGGGGTGGAGGACGGGCCCACGCAGTCAGAAGGCACTCCGGGCTGCGGAAACAGCTCAAGCAGAGGGGTGGTGGTGAGGACCGCAAAGTGTGGGGCAAGCCGGGCATGAAACGGAGCCGTGAGCCCCTCAGACTCCAGGAGCCACCCAGGTATGGATAACGAGTGACCTCCAGGTCCAGGCCTCTGCCTCGTGTCAGGGTCACCCCTCCCGGGTCTCCAGCAGGTGCCACCTGGGGTTGCCTGCCCATCTGCCTGATCTGAAACAGGCTGCTAGCTCCCAGAGGCGCTGTGGTGCACATCGGGGGACTCAGAGGAGGAGACCCTTTGACAAGGGACCTGCGGGGCGGGGGAGGATGGGAGGGACGGAGGGGAGGGGGTCACAGCACAGCACGGCCCGCGGGAAGAGCAAGAGCTCA